ATCAGACTATTCAAATATTTTCTACGCTATATTTCTGGATATTTGTTCTGTTTTTATTGATACTTTTGTAAATGTTAACAGAAATCAAATTTTGTTTGCACTAGATCTGTACGCACATTTTCCACACCCACTACATATATATATACATTTTTAACTTAAATTTCAAGTAAATAATTAATCGTACTGTTCTATTTTAGCTATATATTTATAGAGTTAATGTAAAATAATATTCATGTAAAACAAACCTTCATATGATCGTTGTGCTTGAATCTTCGTGTAATCATGTTATCCAAAATTGTAATAGGTTGTAAACATTCAGGTTTTCCATACAATTGGTTAAACTTTAACATCATTTTTAAGAAGTCAAATATTACAATGATCTCAGTATTTTTTTATGCAATTACATAACAACTTCAGAAATTATATCTATTAACTACTATTTTTAATATATGTAGATATTATTGAAAATAGTCAGGTACCCTAAACGGTTTTATAGTTATGATTACGTGTACATCTATAATACACTTTATACAACGATTTACAGTTAACTTAGAGCATACATCTAATGTTTTGTAATTATGTATTATATTAATTAGTTGTTTATGTTACATATTTGCCGGAAATTATGTTAACGTCATACACTGACGTTTGAAAATTTATATCAACCCATGGCACGTGAGTGAACTATATGTAAATACTAACTAGATTACATATACAGTAGCACACCACAGTAAGCCAAGGTGGGGGCAACCGGCTTAGAATTATGAAGCAGGTAGAGAAACTGTTTCTTCTCTGATTGGTTGACGTTTCACAGCTAAACAGTGCTGCCCTTACAGTTCTAGCAAAGAGAGGAAGTGGCGAGTGTGAGCAAGAAAGCACAACATCAGCACAATCCAAGCTAAACAAGTCACACCGACGACCAATGTAGCTTGTTTTACTTTACCATGCCAGTATTCCATCTGGAATACTCGGCACAATATTCGATTTGTACTTTTCACCCCGTAGAATTCTCGAATACAGTCCAGTGTATTTGCGAACGTGTTGAAATGACGATCATTTCTACACTTATTAAAATTTTCGAAAACCCGTAAGCTACAGTTTAGCTAATGGTTTCTACTTTATGAATTTACAAAATTTTGTTAATCAACCATCCCAGCACTTGTTAACTAGGATGACCAGCAATCAATATTCTACTGTACGAAAAGGAGTTTCAAAAACAACGAATAATTTCACAATTTTATACGATTTTTACTTTCAAAAATTTGAAAAACAAAGCTGAAACTTGCATTCATATTCTCTTAGAAAGACTACATATTTAATGTAGTAATTATGTACCTACACAAAAATTCTCAAATTCAGAGTTTTAGAGAATTAGAGTTAAGAATTATTGAGGATTGGTACAATTTGCGATCATTTCTACAATTAATGAAATTTTCGAAAACTCGTAAGTTATGAGGGTGGTCCCAGGAGTATAGGTGGCAGTTATTGTTTTAAAAAAATGACTATGATCGAAAGTACCAATCTTAAAAAGTTTAAGTTTCAAGTTTGAAGAATATGATACAATATTTTCATTTGAAAGGTCTCAGTCCAACCAATATCAAAATTGAGGTAAATTCTACTCTAGGGGAGCCTGCTCCTTCGTTTAGAATAATAAAATATTAGGTGGCAGAATTTAAACGAGGCCGTACAAACTGCCAAGACGAATACCGCAGTGGTCGACCAAATGAAGTGACCACACCGGAAATATTGAAAAAAATCCACAAAACGTTATTGGATGATCGTCGACTGGAAGTGCGCGAGTTTGCAGACATGGTAGGCATTTCAAAAAGTGTTGTACATCGCATATTGACTAAAAATTTGAATATGAGAAAGCTGTACGCAAGATGGGTGCCGCGCTTGCTCACAATAGAACAAAAACAGCGTCGTCAGGTTGATTTCAATCGAGTGTTTGGCAGGAATCGAGCATTTTACAGGAATAAAGCCGAGTTTTTGCGTCGATTCATAACTATGGGTGAAACCTGGGTTCATCACATCACACCTGAGGGGTGAACCAGCTCCAAAGAAGGCGAAGACTGTTCCATCTGCTGGTAAGGTCATGACGTCAGTTTTTTGGGATGCGCGTGGAATAATTTTCATTGATTATCTTAAAAAAGGAAACACGATCAACGGCGAGTATTATGCGAATTTACTGCAGCGTTTGAGTGACAAAATCAAGGAAAAACGGCCGCATTTGGCGAAAAAGAAAATGTTGTTTCATGAAGACAATGCACCAATTCACACATCCGTCATCGTGATGGCCAAAATCCAGCAGTTCGAATTGCTCCTCACGCACCCTATTCGCTGAACTTAGCTCCCTCGGATTATTTTCTCTTTCCAAACTTGAAAAAATGGCTCGGTGGTAAAAAAATTTTCCAGTGATAAAGAGGTGGAGTCTGCGGTTAATGGCTATTTTGAGGAGCTCGATGGTTCTCACTATAAACAGGATATCGAAGCTATTGAACACCGCTTGGAAAAGTGTACCCAGCTAAAAGAAAATTATATTGAAAAATAAAGATATTTGTTCCCAAATTTCTTGTGTTTTCTTTGTTAGGTCGGGTACTTCTGGGACCACCCTTGTACATTCATAGCTAATGGTTTCTAGTTTATGAATCTATAGGACTTTTTTAATTCAGCTATCCCGGCCAACAATCAATATTATACTCTACGAGCAACTCTACTCATAAGCAACAGATAATTTTGAAATTTTTGTATAAATATATCTTCATAAAATTATGTAAGAACAAGAACAGTTAGTAAATATTGGCTTTATGATTCGAAATAAATGGAATAGTTTGTTCGGATAAATAGATAGAATAGCTTGTTCAAATAAATAGATGGAATAATTTGTTCGAATAAAAATGTTCGTAAATACATGCACTGAATTGTATGGTCGAAAATTCTGCGAGGCAGAAAGTACAAGTTGAATATTATGCCGAGTGTTTCAGATGGAGCACCAAGCATACGAATGTGCGAAAAGAGTGAGACTGCAAGCATAGTAAAGTGAGACAAGCTACATTGGTCGTTGGTGTGATTTGTTTAGCTTGGGTTGTCTGATGTCATGCTCTCTTGCTCACTTGTCACTTCCTCTTTTTGTCTAGAATTGTGAGCGGCAACACTGTTTAGTTATGAAGCGTCAATCAATCAAAGAAGCAGTTTCTCTATCTTACTATGGTGTCCTTACAGGGTGTCCTAAAATTATTGTTCAAACGGAAAATTATTGTTCCTGAGGTGATTTGAAGTAACTTTTTCTGTAGCAAAAATGCAAACTGCGGTTTTGTTTACGAGTTATTAATGAAAAATAGTGACCAATGAGAGGCGAGATTAGCTGGCGCGAAGCAGACGAACCAACGAGTGGTCGAAGTCCAGTTCCGTTTACTGGCTCGGCTGCCTCGCGCCAGTTAATCTCGCTTCTTATTAATAACTCTCATAAATAAATAACTCGTAAACAAAGCCGCGCATTACATTTTCGCTAAAAAAAAAGTTACTTCAAATGATCACAGGAACCCCTCATTTCACGCTCGTACAATAACTTTGGAACACCCTGTATTGTTGACTACAGTTCTTTAGTACTGTATTAATAATTGCTTATGAATTTTTCGTGATATTTTGAACTAATCGTTTATAAACTTTTTGCAGGATTTTAGTCAATTATTTGTACAAATTATATTTTGTAATTAGTTTGTATTGAAATGGAGTGGGATCATGTATTGAATATGCTTACGCGTGAATTAACAAAAATACATGCTTTGAAAGATAAAATAAAGCGTGAAGATGAATTAATGTCTCATTTATGGAATGATCAAAATACAAGGTAGACAAATAATACACTGTAAATATGTAATCAACAGATTTTTTGTTGCTGTAAAATAATTACGATACTTATACAGTAAATATAATATTAAATAATTCTCCTTCCAGGAAACTTACATCATTGTGGTTACAATATTATTATACTAATAAAGAATTGAAGTCTATAACAACAGCACAAACTTTTAAGAACATAGGAAATG